ACCCACACCCTACACCCACACCCCACCCACACCCTACACCCACACCCACCTACACCCGAACAAAGTCCAAGTTTAGCTATCATATAACATATTTGTGTAGTAATGCAATTTACAACTCAGCCTATTCTTTTTTGAAAAGAATAGCAAGAAACGCTTATTCCAGCTTCCAAATTGGAGCTTTTCATCTTTATTCTTGACTGTTGTCTCGTCATTTTCTCGATCATCTATGTCAAAGATCGTGTAGAGAAGATTTGAATAAAGAGATCTGTAACAGAATTTCTGCGGTTAGTTTTCGTTTGCAGTACTACTCGTCAGTGTTCTGAATGACGGATGATTGGAACATCACTAGTAAAGACTACAAAATTCGCTTGAATTTCCGGAGATTAAACCTTTCTGTTCATTTATTCTTCCATACATAATACAGCATCATACAAAATTTCACGTTAAAAAAGGGCATGATTTAAATAGATTCGATGGTCAGAATCGTTTTTCGACACCAACAATCACGTTTTCACAACGTAGAAGAGGTCGACCGACGGGTAAAAACCGAAGTGGAATTCGTGTATTTTTCGATGGAACAAAACGATATTTTGCGAGAACTTTAATGAGGGCTATCTTCGTTTCTAACAAAGCAAAACGTGTACCAATACAGTTTCTTGGTCCAGCACCAAACGGCAGGTATGTGTAAGGTACAATACGTTCTCGATTTTCTGTTGAAAAACGTTCCGGTTTGAATGCATAGGGTTCCGGATAGTACTGTGGATCATGATGAAGTGCCCAAACAGGAATTCCAACAATCATCCCTTTTTTAATGACAATGCCTGTATTTCCTAGGATATAATCTTCAGACGCTTGCCGTTCCATACGTAAAACAGGATTGTAGAGACGAAGTGTCTCAGATATAACCATATCCAGATAAGCCATTTTTGATACGATATCGTAGTCGATCTGACCGTGATTATTGAGTGTTTGTTCAATCTCATCATGCAACTCTTCCTGACAATCAGGATTAAGTGCCAAACAATAGGTGCAGTAAGCTAATAGTTGCGACGATGTTTCGAAGCCAACAGAGAAAAATAGAACACTTTGCGCAAGTATTTCGTCTTCGTCCAATGTCTTGTTTTCGCCATGGTTCTTTATGTCTATCAATGCATTTTGATTCAGCTTTCTCTCATCGTCAGTTTGTTTTCTGAACGATGCATCATCGATGTCCTTGATTGACTCAGATATTTCACTTGAGCCAAGCTTCCTTGCCTTCATCAATAGTTCTAAAAAATCATGATGGTCGCTATAATGATGGTTGACAGTACCTAAACGTTGATGAATAAGACCAACAGTGATTGAACGAAAGAAGTCCATCGCATCCGGCGGTAAAACCGTGAATTTTATGGAATCCAATAGCCACATAGGAACTGCGTAGTCGAGAAATTTTCGCCAAAATGGAAATGTAAATAGTTTTGTTGCATTCTTTACAAAAATGTTATTAGGCTCTGTTGCAAAGGCACACTTGGCAATGACATTCATAGTATAGCCACCATATAATTTCTTCAGATCGATCTCGCCGTTTTGTCTTCTGACTACTTCTTCCAAACGATCCAACATATCATTCGATGAATTTTTCATTGTGTGAAATATCTTCTTCATTTTACTGCCAGTAAAAGTTGGTGTCACTATTGAGCGGACACGTTTCCATTCTTCGCCAACGAGGGAAGACAAGAATTTACTCATAATCGAATGAGTAGTTTTGACTGGACGTCGATTTGTGAAAATGTGAAAATCTTTCACCATGATCTGTTTTATCAAATCAGGATCGCCAACGATGATTCCTACAAATTCGAAATAGTAATCATACAAACAAAAACTTCTGGTTTCATCTGTGTGTAATTACCCGGCTTTGAGCCATCATATATTCTAAATAAAGCGAACAAAATCTAATAAAAGTATGTAAAAATAATTCATGTCAAGTTTACCCATAAATTTTTCCATATTGATTGTACCATTGCATTTCGGTTTCAAGAAATGGTATGAAGAATTGCTTGAGATAGGTGCCAAAAAATGGCCATGGTCGCGGACCTGGAATGCCTTGTTTTTGCCAGTATCGATGGTTACGTGTCAAATAGCTATCAATCCAACAAATTATTTTATTGAATAGAGTTTAAAATCTTCCTCTTGCTCTAATACATGCAAGACTCAAACACACAAATCACTATTCGGACACTCAGCTAGTCGACTCGTCGAGTATTCACATATTCATGCGTTAGGGTCTGTCATATTTCGGTCATGTGCACTATTTCCTTCGCTCTTAGGTTGATCCGTCACTGCCAAACTGTGACCAGACGTCTTCACACAATGAATAGTCCCGTGGTAGAGTCGAATATGCAGATACCAGATGCAGCGATTTAGGTGTATATTCTCTTTTCTTCGATAAAACTTCACTTTCGAACGGTTGCCTTAACGCTCAAATTTCTTGTTTGTGCAACAAAGGGGTAAAATTAAATATGTCTAAAATCCTCTCGTAGAATAGACAGTATATAAAGTATCAATGTTCACATACGAAATCCTTTTCTATGCGGAGAAGTTAGAACGTTCGATCATAATTTCGAAACAATAGTCTGAGTTCTATATAGAAAAAGGAGACTCGAACTCAATACAATAGTCAAATAGACTACCAGCTCTTTTCCACAGATACGGAATCCTTCTTGTATATAAATAATCGAAACATTATTTAGATTAACTAGTTTCTATGCATATATTATCTCTAGGCAGTTTTACTTATACTTACAAATATATAGCCAAAATACAACCAATATTGATCAGAACCAGACAGATAGTCAATTCCATTGAAACTAAATCCGTGATTATATTTTGCGCAGACTGAACGTATCGAATTTCTTCACGCTGCGAATCAACAGATCGTGGATGAGGAACTATTGATCTCTTTTCTGATAACTTGATTGAAACTTGAAACTTAAAATTTCAAGTTTGACACTATTATGAAAACTTTATCATAGATACTAGCTCGAAACTTACGCGTGATAGTTCAACTTAGTATACGAAGGCTTGATGCGGATTGTTGTTGATCCTTTACTTTGCAGTATCGAGCTTTTTATATGGATGGCTTGAGCCATCTTCATGGGTTTTTTCCCAGTTGGATTATAAATGACGATTAATTGTGTTGTTTTCAAAATTTTCTTTTCATAGGACTAATCCCAGTGTTCTTACAACACTTGTTGTTTTGGTGACTCATGTTTTTCATGACTCCTCATTCTCACATACGTTGCTTGTATGCGCAAAAAAATACTCTTCCTGACAGAAGAGAAAAAAATACTCAAAATTTTGATGAATGGTCAATCCTCGATCAATATTTGCATGGTAAATATAAAGATTTTTTACTCTGAGAAATAAGCATGACACATAAAACAAACTTACTCGAGGCTCTTTTGTTGTCTAACGTACCAAAAAAGCCTATATATACACAAATATTCTTCCAGTGCCTATGGCATCATGTGTTTCACAGTGGTAATATTCTGTTTTTTACATTCAACGATTTTAGTCATTCATATCGATAAGCAGAAATTATTGTCTAGCAGGTCAGCTGTCGCAAGATTTCCTTCATAGCTTTCAAGATACCTTATTACTTTCGAATGTTGTCCAAACATGTTTAGGGCTTCTCTATCAGAATTTGTGCAAACGCAACGAATTCTGTATAAGAAAGACTATATGAGGTGGAAGTAATAGAAGCATTGGCCTTTACAAGATAAATTTTTCTTTTACGACCAATATTTACTTGTGTTCCAAGCGAGGTTGAGTTGGTAGCCCAGGGATCCTTAGCATAGTAGAATGTGTAGTTGAATTCTATGCAATCTGATAAAGCGATACCCAGACTACCTAAATATGTAGTTGAATGTCTCACTAAACCTAAAACAGACGAAAAACAGCTATCGGTGCTAAAAATAGAGATTGCGCAAGAAAATACCCATTTCTCTTGATCGCCATATGCCATATTCTCTGATACCCATGTAAAAAGTTATACGAAAAAATTAAAAATTAAATTAAAAATCGATTATAATGGCGCTATTATAATCTGATTTTAAGGCCCTAAAAGACAGATTTCATTTTATATAATCTTTTTAAATATATTGTAATCGATTAATAAACTTGAATCAATTAAAATTGATTTTTTTAAATCAACTATAATTGATTTAATTTTAATAATCGATTAAAATAGATTTAAAAAAATTATATTAAATGAAATCTGTCTTTTAAGGCCGAAAAGTCTGAGCAAAATCAGATTACAATATTGTCATTATAATAGATTTTTAATCTGATTTTTAATCTTTCCGTACAACTTTTTTTTTACATGGATAATTACACATTTTTTGTCTCGTTTTTTCCTGGCAGCGCACAGCGCAGAGCGAATAGATGTGGCACGATGTAAACAAATATTTCTTCTCCTGACTAAGCATGCAAAAGCATTTTTTTTCATCTTGTGTTGTCTCTATGGCACCAAATATGCTATTCATTTGATGAACCAACGATAGTTATTCGTTTCTCGAGATGTCGCATTAAGCTGTATGAAAAACAGAAATTGTTTGGAACGATCTACCTTCTTATGTGTGAAAAACTTTTTAAGTATAACAAAAACACAAGATCCAATAGACAGCTCAACTGGAAGATTTAGAAGCCACAAGGTCATTTCTTTTTTGAATTGAATAATGGATGTCAGTAACTCTTAAACATGCGCGCACTTTTTGTTTTCTTCATATCTACGAGAGTATTAGCCATTGGATTTGCCGTGAAGTGGTTTCAGAAGTGAATCTGATTTGACATAGCACTTCTGCTGAATAAATTCTTACTGGTACCGTCTTCCTATTCTTTCAAAACCAACACTGTCCATTGATCATGTCATCTAAAAGAAAATTCCGTATTTTATTGTAGATTATTACCTAGGTGGTGAGCAACGAACACACGCCGATAAACCTGATCATACACGCTTAATAGCGATGGAAGAACGCATTGCCCGTGTTGCTGATAGTAGACTCACTCTGTCGGATCTATGGCCGAGCGTGCACGGACCGATGGCCACGCGCGAGTCTCGCATGGAAGTGGTAGCTTGGGTAGCCGTATGCAAATTCAATTGCAGTCTTGAAGGTGGCTTTGTGCGAGACTGGATCGTGGCCAATGAACGAGCTCGGCCTTCGCCAACAATTAAGCCCTCAGAATGGGTCAAATTCGACGCGATAACGGGTACTCCATCTCTTCTGAAGGAACTAGTCCCGTCTGATCTTGACTGTAAAATGCCGTTAGATTGTTATTTTGACGTCGACAAGTTTTGTGATGAAATCAACAATTTCGATATGAAACCACAATTGTATCGCTCTCGTCGTTCTTATAGACTACTATTCGATCAATACCAGCCGACAGGACCATTCACATTGGAATTGATCGAGCCATACAGTAGTGTCGGATTTCGTATACCTGATTTTGATGTTAATAATCTCTGTGTAAAACGTGATCAGTGCAGTGAACTCAGTCAGCGTGTCGATCTGAGTGCGCCACCATGTTTGATTGATGTGAAGCAAATCGTGGAGAACATACAATGCAAGAAATTTCACGTTCTACCCTCAGTTAACGAGCTCATAATGAATCGTATTAGTAAGATGGTGAGTCGTGGATGGGTACAGCTAGGTGTACCACTTATCAACAAACCTCAACAAGTTAAGCCTAAGTTTGCTGTCAGTGCACTTCCGACAACCTCAGATCTTTTTAAAACAATTGAAAATGCAATGCAAAAAATTATTGGAAGCACAATTATAAGCATAGAACAAGTTCAAAATTCAGAATTGGCAAGTATCTATGAATCGATGAAAAATTTAATTGCCAATGAATGTCCTGATAGGAATGCGAATGAACAGTTTCTATTTCATGGTACACACACGAACAAAGGTAATAGAATTATGCAAGAAGGCTTTGATTACGGCTTCTTCAAGACCCATGGTCGATTTGGTAAGATCAAAACTATTCATTTATTCATCAAAAGAATGTTGTCAAATTTATTCATTATAGGTAATGGTGCTTACTTTTCTGACAATTCACAGACGTCTCATGAATATACACTGCCTGTCGATGATACTGCCACACGCATCATGTTTTATAATAAGGTGATCCTAGGTCAAGAGATGATCCTGAACAATGTGGATAGTACTTTGTGTTCCGCACCTCGAGATCATCATTCTATTCATGGCATTATCTCTGATACGTCCGAATATATTATCTATCGCTTAACTCAAGCTCTACCATTCGCTGTAATTGTTTATCGAGTCCATCCTTCGTGAATCAATAAAATAGATTAACATAGATTCAAATGATAGACCAATTAAATCAGATAATTGCTGTAAAATGACTGTGATGAGCGAGCCATAACAGACGCCTTGACGGCAATAGGTCAAAACAGCAGTTCGTTCGATCTTTTGTGATTGAGAATGAATTCATAGACATGTATGGGCATGGCCAAATGTTACGGAATTTCATTTTTTTACATTGTAATACCTATATCTCCTCAGTAGTAAAAGCTAACTCTTTGAAATTTTTATCATAGACAGAGACTATCAAGTTCTACTAGTAGTAAAAATTTTATTGGCTTTTTCCTTAGCCGGAGCTAAGTTATTCCAAAAATAGTGACCGTTACGGAATTTCAAAAAATGGAATCTTTTTTGAGGGTGATGTGAGAGTTGAGCATTTTTCTATGAATCGAAGTGACATATAAATAACCGTTTTACGTACATGTTGTTCAGTACTCCATGAGCTATCAGAATATCACGTTGTTTGCTAACAACTATGACTGCATAGAACAAAAAAAACTAAAAATACCGTTCGTTACGGAATTTCACGTTTCAAAGTCGAAGGTTTTGAGGACCTGAAATTCTTAAATTGCCATGATAAAAATACATCTTTTTCCTAATTTACGAGTAGTACAAAGATAGTTCTATCGTTCAAGTAATCAAGTTTTATTCTCACAGCAAACGCACATTAAAATAGCTGATCATCATTTAGACAAAAAATGTAATGTAAGAAGATTCAAAATCATACTTTATTATGAAATTAGTCAATAAATTAATTTTATATATATATATGATGAAAGAAAAATGAGGACTATATCACTCATAATTAAGGTATCTCACAGCTTGCAACATGTTTGTTAATCCGTCAATAGTGTACTTTCGATTGCAGAGACAGTACCCTTTGACTTTTGTAATTTCAAACCTTCGAATATGAGGGTGACCGTTAGCTGGCCATCACCGTATACAAACCAGAGCTTTACGTGAGATTGGATAGGATGTATTGTCTCAACAGTCCCATCTTATGGGATGATTTTCAAAATACATTGTTTTCTTTGACAGCCTTCTGTCAAAAAGTACAAATTATAGATTCATTTATCAATTCGATTGAAACTCTTTCAATTATCTTGTGTTGACATGCATTTCAAAGTCTGAATACAGCTAAACTAGAAAGTTTCTTCATTTACAACGGAAAGCTTGTTAACACAGAATTTGATGAGGCTAGAATGTGAAACCAACACAAGAATACAGTACTAACAAAGAAAAACAAAAAGAGAATCAAGAAAAAACTAAGGTCATGAACATGATGAAAAATAAAACATTCAAGAAAAAAAGCACGTTTTACCGAAGGATTTTGTTATTTTATGTCGTCAGAAGAGAAACTGAATGATCATAGAAAATATTTTTTCAAGGAAGATTAGTTTTAAAGGACCAGTAACTGTAAAAAGGAGAAAACAGTGACTTCCTGTCTTCGTGATTGTATTTCATTGTATTTAATGACAA